GGTCCGAGGCTATTTTTTAAAAGAATAGTATCGCAGAAACAGTTATCGTGTTTGATTGACACATGTTACCAAAATAGCTGGATAGTAATTAAAATTCAACGTGTGTGTTCCTTTTAAACTTCAAAATAATTAACTAATCAATCATTCGAGACAAACATATTTTATTCATGTCCCTTAATAAAAGGCCAAATATATTTGCCGGCAATACGAATATGTCATAATTTGTATTTGATATCTCATTCGAAGTAATTGCTCCACGCAAAAACTCGTCGTTCTCAATCGACCGTGCGACGGACGGACGATCCTTTGCAACTTTTTTGCTATAAACCAATTGTCCATAAATCAATTATGTAGACAAACAAAGTTTACATGTTTTTAATAATGCCGACACATAATGAAGTTATTATGTAAGTACTCGAATTATTTAAAAAAGAATTTCAATTTGTATTTTCATAATCTCTATACATTTAAGTATTTTATTACGTTTTTATAACAAATTTTTGTAACTGATGTACAGTAATACTGATATTTTCAATTTGATAATGATCTATTTAAGTATTTTTGATCAAACTATAGGTGTATTGACTATAATAGATCATTAATTTTCAAGTGCAGTAAAAAATCATAAGTAGCAAAGCGTTACAGATATACAGACAGGTTGAAGAAAGAGAGAAAGAACGTTAATACAGTACAGTAACGTACTCAATATTATATATCGTGATCTGGGTACAAAATTTCACAGAATTAATGATGTAAGTGATGAAAGAAACAAGTATAAAAAGAGTAAGAAGGTACTATTTCATACTTGATAAAAAAAATCTTTCAGTATATAAAAATAGAAAAAAAAAATGGTGGTTCATTTATTCCCCGTAGGAGAGAAAAGTGCTCAGTCAATCAAAAATATGGATTAAATATGATCGAGTATGTTATATTCTGATTCTAATAAAGCGTAGAACACAGGTAATTAGTTACTGCTGTTTTTATAGCAAAATTCTTAATCCCAAAGCAAACCCAATTGACCGAAAGTTGACTAAAACAGTATAGTCTAGTTAAGTAGTATAGTATAGTATCGCATCGACGACTAAACTGTAAACTTGTACTTGTTCCCACCTGTTTACTGATGGTTGCTTAATAAATCGCCGGCCGGGGATCTGTGCTAACGACGCCACTCGATGATGGACCTGATTGATTGGTTCGCTTCTGATCAGGGATCGACAACAGGGAGTATTTATTTAAAAATATTTGTATCTACTATTTTGATATTGTATTTGTGTTTTATAGTATAATAATCTAAATTTTAAAATGGCTGTTTATCTTTTTTTCGTATTCTAGATTCGAGAGTATGTTTACGATAAAAAAGCCCTTCCTCTTACTCTTCATTCTCCGAAATATATCCACACAAAATTTGTCAGTCATGTGAGACACTTTTCCATTTAAATTCCTTTGCGATATGCAAAATCTTAATCAAATCAAAGAATGAGTCACAAGCTTTTTAAAAAAATTTGACAGATACACAAGCAATAATATTAAAACCTCAACAGTCACTCAACCAACATTAACTGCGATAATAAACTAGCTACCATAATTTTCATTTTCAATACAACCCTAGTAAAGTGTGAGCTTTGAATTAAACTATAATTAATAGCAATTAACGCGTCCGTTGGCGCACAATAAAAGTTATTTCTATGTAAATGAGCCGGGTTGACCGCCCCTGCCGCGGCGCACTTCAAACGGTCAGATCTGTCAGCGTTTTGACATCTTTTGATATCCACCGACAAATAATAACAAAATTATTAGATCATACATTGTTCAGAGTATCTCTTACGCGGTCGGTATAAGGTTTAATAGATGAGGTGTTTATATTTTTAACTTTAGCTCTTGCGCCGCGCCAAGTGAATTCTCGAGGAAGTTTGCGTCAAGCGATGATTGAATAGTCTCCGTCCGAATTGCTGACTGTGTCACGAGCCTTAATGGTACTTGGCTTTCAAAAACGGATACGTTATATCATGAACCGTTCTCGTTATGATTAAATTGATCTATAAAGTCTCGTCCTCGATATATTTTTTGATCAAAAAAGTAGGACTTGGGATTTGATTCTATATGAATTTTCATCCATTGACACATTGATGGAAAAAATTCTAATGGCTTTGTTCATGGAAATATTTCTTAGCGCCGCTAAGAATATTTCGGTGACAATGCCTTTTACAAAACCTCTTTCGATACATCTCGGTAAAATATAACTAGCAGTGACAATACACGTCACAGCGATTAGCTTACAGTATAACCGGCGTTCATTTCATTAGAATAACTCAATTACAGCTGCAAGCAAGACGGACGATGCGCGAGCGCACGGTACACACGCCCACTGCAACTGTCGAGACATCCTAATTTACATTAATGCGTATTTAACACGAAGATTTACACCAGGATTAATTACGGAAATAATATTTTTATTTATTAGATATTGTGAGCATTATTCGTTGAATCTCGAGGAGATGTATCTGTCTATTCGTTCTTTACAAATGAAGTGAATGAAGTTCATCATTATACATTTTACTTATAGGGTTATTTATGATAAAGAAAGAATTTTCGATCAAAAAAATGGATTTATTCAGTTAAAAGTTAAATCTTAAATTTCTCATTCTCTGGATCATATACTAATATTAGACGTACGTTATATAACTCTCCCATGATAAAAAGGTTCAAAGCATCAACTCTAGGTTAATTAATTATGTGGAACGTTTGTCACTAATTTATTATACGTAAGTGTGAACATACATGTTATGAGCCAATCAACATAAACGTTTGCACGTCGCGGTATCTGTCCGTCGCATCATCGTAACAGGGTGATCGATCTTTCATTGCTCGAGTCCACAATTATTTCGATATCCCGTCATTTCCATGGGAATAGGTCGCCGAATCGGATGTATTAAATATTGATACAAGAAACATGAACATACATTTGTTTTTGACATTTTTCCAACAAATTCTGAGATCTGAGCAATCTGGGTATTTTAGTCTATTTTTTATTATTAAGAATAAGTTTTTGTAAACCTTTGATATGTGTATCAGATGTACCAGCACCTGACCTCCGCCCTACAGAGTGATGTATATCCATAATACTTCAACAACTAATATATCAACCTTTAGAGAGCTCTTGCACATTTTTGTCATAACCTTTTAGACTAGAAGGAAAATTGCTGAATGCAGTGATATCATAACATTGGTTTTTAATTTCAGTTATTCGTCAATGCCAAAGAGCCAATTTTCTTTATATGAATCAGTACCGTTACTTAATACATTTCTGTCAAATGTCTTCAGTTTTATTATTTCGATGGTGCAACACCACTGAAATACCAACTTTATCCAAGACATATTTTGATAATAACACGATTGATGTTACTACCGTTACTTCTAATAAAGCGCTGATAAATTTTAGCTAGATCTTCGTTTCAGCCAAAAGACGTCTTGAAAGAGTAGTACGAATAAAAATTGGGAATATTCTAAAGTGTTTGTGATAAGCTTATTTTGAATGAAGAATTTTTGAGTTTCAATTAAACCATTTATGTTAAGAGCATGCATAGGTATATAAAATGTAAAAAGAACCCGCATGCTAAATTTAAAACTCCTAGCACTTGTAGTTTCTGAAATTTCGTGATAAGTGAGTACGTTTCGCTTTTATATATATATAAACAAGTATTCTACTTGTATTTTTATTTATTTCTTGTAAGGGATTCATAGTTTGTCTAAGTAAAGTTTACAAGATAAATCTATTCACGTCCTGTCTAAAATAAAACATTACTGACTAACTCATCAAGAGTCATTATTTCTAAACACCATGATTTGTCAATTTAACCGAATTAATCTGTATAAATGAAGAATATAGCTATATTAATGTATCATGCAGAGACAAGTCTCTATTTTAAAGCGGTATCCTTTCGATTTTGTAAAGTGTCAATAGAACAGTTGGTCGCACTCGCGGCGGTTGAATTGACAAGATTATCCAATAACGCTTTCTCCGCAGCTGCCCGGTCCATGATCTCCCTGCACAAGCCAACTGATTCTTTCTCATTATTTTATTAGTAATGCGCTTTGCCACTTTAGATATTCAAGTCTGTTGTTTACTTATAATGCAAAAGTATAACATACAATCCGACTTATTATCAAATAAGATGGTACAATAAAACAATACAAATAAATAAAATTGCAGTTTATGTTAAATTAACCGCTTTTTACAAAATGCAAATGTATGTGTACGGTACATTTACCAAAATATTATTTTTTTAAGTTTTCTGTTTGTCTGTTTGTTCCGAATAATCTCTATTACAGCTGTACTGATTTTGACGGGACTTTCACTGGCAGATATGGCACTGGCTTATGTAATAAGGAATAACTTAGGCTTCTTTGTCGTTGTAAAAAAATAATAATAATTGGGGTTAACCTTTGTTAGGCCTTAAATCACACCTTGGCCAAAGAATGAATTATTGAAATCTGAAACAAAGGTATACCTACAATCATCCAGACCCGAAACAATATAGGTAGGTAAGGAACTCGCAAACCTTTGAGAAAATATCATATTCTACAATGTTTTGACCCGACTGAGTATTGAACCGGAGATTTGTATCCCAAGGCTCTCTATGCTAGATCATAAATTAGATTTAAATACCGTAAGGTTAACTGTGACTTTTATTTCAGGTAGTGTAGATAAGTACTATTTCAGCAAAACCAATCGAGAAAAGTTAAATATTTTGGTTTCAAAATAATAAAAATCCATTTATATTTTACGACTTTTATTGATTATAAATCAATATACGAGTCTAACAATTCCATTAATATGTTTACGAAACTAGTAGTAAAAAAAATTCAATAATCTTCAAAAAATTATAAATAAGTAAATTGACCTATTTTGAGATCTATATCAAAACCAAATACAGAACATAATCGTACACCACGTAAAACGTATTTAAAATGCAACAGACGAAGATGCTCACGTAATTGAATTACTTAAAAAATCTTTTGCTCCTCTGACGTCGACACGCTGGCGGCGGTACTGGTGCCGGCCTGGTCCTCTCCACATACGAGTCTATATCTATCTCCGACGTCAACAGCTTCCTCGGAAGGGCTATCCTCTGCGCCTTATACTGTTTAGTGGGCAGCTTGGCACCCCAAATCTTCCTTCCAGTCATTGGGCATTCAACACTATATTGCACGTTATCGAAATCGGAAGTGTAATAATGAGAATTTAAATCTGACTTCTTACAATGGTAATGATATTTCGATTCACTGTTATGACTATAAGGGATGCCATCATTGCATTCATTCCTTACTGTAATTTTGCCGACATCTCGTTGAACGGGTATCAGCGTAGGTAAGATCACTGGTGGCACAAAACTTGCCACGTCATCACTTATACCCTCGTTGTAGATATTTTTCCTTCCACTATCATTGATAGGGTTATCATTCTCGAACGACGTTTTCTTCTTGTTCTTGAAGAATGATTTATAAGATTTCTGTTTGATAGGCTCGCAGTAGTCTTCTTCTGCTGTCACATCCGTATCTCTTACTGCCTCTTGACGAACCCCAGCTGGTACGTGGCCAGTAGTGGGGCCACAGTAACCTGATGGGCGACTCGGAACTTTACAATTTGACTTTTTTAGTATAGGTATGGGAGTGCAATTTTGAGAAACCCCTGTAGGTTTGTATCCCTCACATTCAGTGCTTTTAATTGCGACGTAAACCTTAGATGATTTTGGCGTCGCCATAACAGGCATGCAAACTTCACAGCAGACGTCATTCAGTCTCGGGGTCATCGTATACTGGTCTGAAAACGTCATGATATTGTCTTTGAAAATTCTATTTTTTGTATTCGATAATGATGCTCTGGAAGGGCACATTTTTTCAACACAATTGTCACATTTACATTTAAAGACTCGCTTATCCTCCGTGATATTAGTTTGTGAATTATTTGCTGAGGACATATCGACATACGGACTCCATCGTAGATTTTGCACCAGAGATACGTAGGTGGGTACATTCCCGCTCCCATTTCGTTGATTATCATTGGCGTGTGAAGTGAGCATGCATGCCGGAATATTTTCTTTTGCTGAGCCCTGGACGTACGATGCAAACTCATTAGAGGGGTAATATTCAGGGTTCCCAATGATGCCTGAAATCAGTTTCGCTCTACACCCATCTTCCATCAATTGCGCCACATGATGATTACAACTTACAACTGGATTCATAATTACCAAATTTCAAGCCATGGGTTCACCTCACGAAAGGTGTTAAATACAAAGTTTCAGTATTATTTTTAATTTTGAATTTTATGATAACATTATTTTATTTTATTACTCCGTTTGACGTCTTTCATGCTGGCAAGAGGGATATACAGATAATATTAAAGCGTACAGACCAAGAAATATATAACAAAGAGTTGTAGCAAATTTTGTATACCTAGCTTGATACTTTTTATAGTTTATTCTTTATTCTTTTTCGGTTGTGTGTAGAAAGACAAGTATTTTAGTGATGTGTAAAGAAATAAAATAGTTTTTTGGAGTACTTCAGAGGCGTTAGATTTTAATATCCGAATCATCCAGATTGACGATATCATCCAATATTCCGGTGAAGAGCACATTCTACTCAACCCCAAAGTGTAATATAAACAACTACCATTTAAAAGTCAAATCCATAGATTTGAAACACTGTCAAATCCTTAATAGTGTAAATTTTATAATCTTAGCACTTTTGCACTTTTGATTGCAAAGAATAGGAAAAGCAATTTCAGTCGTTGTCCAAATACGCCTGAGCAAGAGCAAACAGCTGATGCGACGGAAACACCTAGTTGATCGCGAACCACTTCAATTCATATCCTAGTGAGTCGTGACAATAACTGATTGAGTAACATTATTTCCTTACAAAATTATATTTGCCGTCGTCACTTTCGAAGACGACCGTATTCCTGCGCAATAAGATCCCTCTAGTCGTGAAACGATATTTAAATTAACTTTTTCCTTGACGTCCCCAAGACAGAATTAGTTGGTATACCTCTCCCCGCACTCTTCCTCGGAGGGGGGGTGGTACATTCAATTGAGCAAGTCTTATGTCAGAGGAGCCAAGACGGCAGATGCTGGCAATTGGCCGAGTCAAAGATCAGAGGAAGTGGCAGCGAGTCAGCCGGTGCGGCGCGTGCGCAACGCACCGGGCTATTGTCTAATTGGCTGGTATTTGCCCTGATACGATCGCATGTGCATTTCAGCACTTTAAAAACTCATGCAGTTTATTGCTTTAATTTGTATTTCAGATTAAGATTTAATGAAGTGAGTTGATTTTTTTTATGACTTTGATTAGAAATAATACCGAATACAGAAACTTATTAAGTATTTAATTTTTGTTACGTGATTTTCTTATTATTGGTCTATGCTCAATTGAAATAACATATTATAATATACCCCTCGAAAATACGACCTCCTCCTTTTCGATTATAAAGTCAGTTTAAAGTGAATGTATAACACATTCACGAAGCTCATTTTTTATATTATTTCAGGTTATTATTATATTTGCTATGTTTAACGTACATACATACATTTCATAATACAATGTCAAATTATATAAACAACGATTTAATGAAGGACACTATAAATCGTTGTCTATATTACGAAATTACGAAAAAGAGAGTTAATAGAGAGTTAAGAAAACAAGTTAATAGAGAGTCAGAACAATCTTATAATAATTGGTTATTATTATGTTGCTTATATACTTACCTTATAACTTACACCTTTTTACATCATTTTTATAATCATAAATGGTATTATAAACTTAACAAGTTGGCAATACAACTTTATTGTTAATTACAATGAATAATATAAAAGTAAACAGTATTGTGGCGACAAAAGACAGCTAAAACCAGCTATAAAGCGATAATTAACACGCGGTGGGCGCCCGCTATCAACATATCGCGGTTAAAATTTTATCGGCCGTTAAAATAAGGGAATGTATCTATTCAGCAGTTTAATGCACTCCGTATCAATTACAGGCAATGTCGTTAAGTGGACGATAAACCGATACGAAATATTTAGTAGACACGGACATTAGAAATACATTAATACATGTATTTACCTGTAATGTGTGTGCCTTGTGGTAAGATTTCATGGCAGCTCAGAGCTGCCATACGTACCATAAAGTATATAAATACCTATGTTATAGTAGATGGACTAAAAGCAAGTTTACGTTATTATTTTTACTAGGGACGTAATCATCTGGGGTCGACCACTGACCTCCAAATTGGTGATTTTATTTGTTCGATTACAGTGGACGTCAGATACCTGTCATTTTACAAATTTCCATTGCACTATTATCAGACATGCTTTAGGTATTAGTGTTTCCAAAACCAAATCAATATTTTTCTGAAGCCGCTCGAAAACGTGTCCCCGATTTTACCCTAATAAAATATCCCATCAAAAACGCAATTACAGTTAAAGTTATCATAAAGTTTATAGCATTATAAACATGTCATAAAGCCAAAAATTTTATTCAAAGGGCCACTAGCGAAAAACGTACGAACAAAATTTATATTTTAATAAAAAGAAATGTTAAAGTAAAGTCACCGATCGAATCTAGATAAACGTCGCTTTTATTACGAAAACATAATAAAATTTAACCAACAAACCGGCCGTAAATAAAAAGTTTAAAACAGTGGGAAAGCATGGCCGGATAACTGGTGTATTGGCATTAAAAACGTTATGGAAGCAATCAATTCGAGATGTCACCGTGGCTTTGGGGCAAGACTTTACATTGTGACGTTTATGGGTCTCAGACCTCATGCCACGACACAAAGCCCTCTATGTGGGATAAAAGGAAGCCATAATGTACAGTACAGTACCAATACCGACATAATATTTATAGTAAGTCGGTTCAGCGAGACCGAAGTGTTATCAGAAATATGTAAGGTAGTGCCGCCTAATAGCACTTACACTTCAAAACAGCAGGTGTTTTATATTAAATATTCACTTTATAACTTTACGCAATTATTACTGTCCCCTGTCCCCCTCCAGAAAGCAAAACAAGATGGTTCTCCTTATTTTCTAAATGTGTGAAATTGCTTTAAATTTTATATATACACGTCACTTTTATGTCATGGCATATTACACTAACAATATCACACACAAGATTGATACATATCATACATCAGTATTATTTATTTATTATATCTGTCTCTCTTTTGATTTGATTTAGAATTTCGTAACGCATTAAATGTTTAATAATTTAATCTGTGCATTATCGAAAGCTATTAATGTTCCCATTTCACAGGCGTTTGGATAGAATAGCACATAATTAATCAATGTTGTCGTCGTCAGCAACTTTTATATACACTGACTTCTATCCAGACATTAGTATATGGGTATATGGGGCCCAGAGCGGTGTACCCCACACTACCACATTACGCGTCAAATGTGTAAAATAAAACAATCGTAAAACGTGGCGGGTGATATACGTCGCAATTAAACATTATCTATTTAGATAACACTCGCATCAACAGCCGCTGCCTCGTAAAACACATTTTATGCCCAATTATTATTTATTGGTCGCTTTGTTTTATATTATGTTCACATTCATTTTTGTCTAATTATAAGTGCGACAGTAGTTGTTCTATCTGACTGCTATTTCATCTTAGAACCTCGAGAATAGGGTTGCCAGATTATTTTCAGCCTGTAAGGGACATATGCTTAGATGTGCAAAAAATACGGTATTGCTATTTTTTATCCAGCTCTAGTAAAAGCAAAACAAATTACTTACTTTTTATATTTTTTGCAGAAACACACATGTTTTTATAACGTATTTTAATGAATTAAATCAAAGTTAAATATGGTCATTAATATGGTTTTTATTAAGTTGGAAATACATTTATTTTGTTCACTATACGGGACAAAGTCGGTCCCGGCTGGATATTTGAATTTATGCACGAACTACGGGACGTATGCATAAACAGTAATACATAAGTAGTAATCAAGCTGGTAAGTGCATTATTTAAGAAATGCTAATCTAATTTTGTTTTCAAAGTTTCCCTAAAAACAGTAGGATTTTATGTTTATACATTATTAAGTTTGTTAACTTCAGAGATCGTCCAAATTGAAAGTATTTAGTTATTCTTTTGTAGTTAATTATTTACCATTTAGATCACTCTACCAAAAATTTACAAGCTTATATTTTGTAATCGCCAATTTTTAGATTTACTGCTGTCTCTAGTTTCAAACTAAACAAATCTTGATATTAATGTCTCTGTTTCAGTATTTTACAGTATCAAACAACGTGCCACAAAGTAGAAAACCACCTTACTACATCCAAGTCTGAGTTATTGTATTTAATATCCACTTATTTTTAATACTCTAGCTGCTTTGAATTGAATATATATGAAGCCCATTCACATTACATTCATTATTAATATAGTAAAAAAACTGTAACATTAATGATGTTATTAGTTTCGTTACACAATGCTCACGTAAAGAAAAACAAATTTAACCCTCATTCGACGAGAGTGACCCGATAACTATCTGAACACTAACAACACGCTACGATTGTTAACGAATGGATATTTTCACAACAAAGAAGTAAATGGCGTACAATGATAACTAACGTGAAGGATAAATTGTTATTACGTAAGTGATAAGGTATAAATTCTCATGAATTTCAAGGAGGGTTAGATGTTTCTGTAACAGGCGCCCCGCTGGGTCTTTTGTGCCCGTAATTTTATTCCGTTGCACCCTCAGTTAACAGTATAATGGTTACACTCTCGTTACTCACTGAATGTGTTCGTTCACTAATAATTCGTCTTTATTAACTTTAATAAGTTTCTGACTTATTTAAAAAACATATTCTTATAAAAAAAACAACATATTCTTATAAAAACCAACATACAAAGATGTATATAAGAATACTTTAACATCATGCTATGCTCGCCGATAGTGAAGCGAGTTGAGTGATAGAGTAGATGTCTACGTCAAAAGTCACTTTTTTAATGTTCCGATGTAAATAAATAACTTTTTCTGTTCTAAATTTAATTTGGATTTGTTTCACAATTAAAAATTCAATTTTACAAGAATATACAATTAATAATTCAACATTTCGCTCTATGTTGGCAGTGCGGAGATGAATATTTGAAAAATGCATGGGGTAATAGTGTCCCGTATCTATAAAGTCGAGTACAACTAAAGCCTTAGACGGCAATTAGATTTTCAACAAGTGAAAG